AGTTGACTTGGTTTAAAAAATGCTATAAGAGAAAATCATTTGTAATTATTGGTATAAATCAGCAATTATCAACCAGTATGCAGCAATAATTTTAAAAGCATGCATTACCTGATGATTTAGTTAGGGGCACTGACTTCTTTTCCCTTAAGACTGTCAAAATGACAACAGCCAACACAATAGCTGTCCGATGAGAATAAATCAAAATCATGCCTTTTTTATTGTTGGATCGGCAAAAAATATACTTTCCGGTGTGCCTCAGAATTTTAGTAATTAGTTTATGTGTGCCATGAGATGAAAATGGTTGAAAACCACTGGTATCTAGAGCTTTTGTCCTAGTTAATGAATTAGGAAGGTGTACATGGATCCAACTTTCAAAAGACAGTTTTAATGATTATTCGGTGATTGGTTTACACTTTGATTGTAAGTTTCTGTTTCAGGGTTATTTGTTCAAGAGTTATCCTCAATATCACTCAGAACAGTGAGGCAAATACATTTTTGTCTTAATTTAATGCCTTATTCTTTAAAACTACCAAGTAAATAGTTCCCAGACCTGGAATACATTTTCAATTCAGCAGCACCCTATTTTGTAAACAAAAGAAAGAGAGCAAAAATAGCACCTTCAATTAAAATTTCCATCCTGGCCAGCTGTAGAGAAGACATAAATTGGGGGTGGTAACTGCTTAATTTATTTGAGTGGCTCATCTATTAAAACAATTCTTCAGGAACATTTTTTTTCTATTTATATGGAAACCAACTAACTAGTAATCTTGTTTTACAGATTTAAAAAAATGCTTTCTGTCAAGACCATTGTGGGAGAGGTGGAGGTAGAAACTAAGTCATTCTTTAGAACAGAACCTAATGGTCAACTTGAGTTTAGGGGCAAAACTAAGGTGCTACGATATTGTGACATGACTCAATATAAGAACAGTGAGAGACAGGTCACTTTTGGGAGACTAGCCAAGGGAATGGACTTAGGACACACAAGACATTCAAAACCTTGAAAGGCAATGGTAGGTTGACACCCATTCCTAGAAATGGAGCAGTACCTGAACCAATGCTGTTAACAGATCATCATGGCATTATCAGGAAATCCCAGGCATTATAGGATACTCTTCCTTTGGTTTCTTTGTATTTACTGGAATGCACAGTAAAATTTGTAGCTTTTAGAGGTTCTTGATGTTTCTTCTGCAGTATGTCCAGTACCACCACTTACATACCTTTTATCAGACATATGGGTCAAACTATTAGATCACAAAATAAATGGTAAAAACAACGCTCAGCTAACAATGCTTGGTGATGAATACTTTGTGTTTCAATGACAGATTTTTTGCATCTGTGAGTAGGGAAGGCTGTTTGGATAATTCAGCGGCCCCCTAGCGTTATCAAGGACAGATGATTTTCACTACTGTCCCAGTGAGCCAACCTTGTGACCATTAAATGACTGTAGCCGTTCTCATCCAGACAAGGAGGAGAGCAGAACTTCCTGCGCCAAGTCTATTAGTGGGGGAAATCTTTCTCCCACGGCCCCGGCAGATCTGTTTTCCTTGGCCAGGGCAGGTTCACGTAGTCATGCCTTCTCAGTTACTTAAAAGGGGAATAAGACCATGAAAGGTCCCACATCCTCAGGCACAGGGCTGCACAGAAGGGGAATGCTTGAACAAGCAAGTAAGAGGGAGGGACAGGATGGCTGTTGGATAATAACCAGTATTTCTCACAACTGGATAGGGCTAAAACACACAGTACATGGCACACTAACGTCCACTGGCTGAGAGGGTAAACTGGCACTCAGAGCATGAAAAAGACATCTAATATAATGGACTATGATAAAACTGTATTTCAGGGACAAGTAATACCTAAGATTTAGTGAGCATACTCTACACGCCAGACACTAGTCTGTGTACTTTATGTGCATTAACATATTCAAACCTCACAACGTTACCTGTATTTTACAGACAAGGAAACAAGCGAAGTGACAGAGCTGAAATTTTAACTTAGGAGTTAGACTCCAGACCCATGCTCTCAATTGCTACCTTATGCTGCACAAGGTGATGTAAAAGAGGAATGAATATATTCTAAAACCATTTTTTAAAAAATCAAAGAAACCAAGGGAGAGGTGGAGAGGTAGAAAACAAGCCAAAAGGGTAGCAGAGATTTACACATTGTACATTTTATTAAATACTGGGTTTTATTAGAACAAATGAACTTCTGATAGAAGTTTCACTTAAAAAATGAGGCTGTGTTCAAATTCTACTTGACACTGCCTTTTGGGTAAGCATTCTATTTTTACCAGTTCTATATTCAGTCATTATGGGCAGAAAAATTATTTTTTCCATAACAGAACAAAGGACTTTCTCAAGTGGTACAACACTGTAAGAGAAATAATCCCAAAGTGTATGACCACACAGAGTATATGATCAGAAAACACATTGTTTTTATGGTATATTTATAATAGCTACAGACAACATTGTGAACTCATGCACAGTAAGTCTTTACTATCTACTGAAGGTTCTACCTGACACATGAAAATTATCCATGTCCCAGGGTTTGGCATTTAGCCAAACATTAACTATGATGGAAGATGGCTATCAAATTGGCTTTTCCGACCACACAGAAAAGGTGTCAGCTGCAACCTCCATCCTGGAGTCGTGGCGGCAAGTTCCTGGGAATTGCTTTTTCCTGTGTTTTGATCAAGTCTGTAATAGCTGAGAGCACTGCACAGTCTCTGGATTTAGTGTCCTTCCAATCGACAGGATGGGGGCTTTCGATCTTCTCTTGCAGAAGGGTATCTAGTTCCTTTCTTAATTCCTAAGGTTGGAAAAATTACACAAGTTCAACAAAGGCAGATGTACAATAAAACAATGTAATAAATAAAAGTGACTAGCCGAGACAGGAACTTCATAAGCTGTTATACAAACGACCGAAATATTTAGTAAGCAACTGAAGTTCAGTAAAGTTTAAAAATTTAAGCTTCCATCTCACTTAGACATTTACAATGGTTGGTCCGTAACTACCTCAAAAAACAATGAATCAATTTCTCAACACTATTTGTTTTGCTGAAATATATCAAGAAATGTTCACAAAACATATAACACCCTGAACAAAACCACAAGACGTCTTAACTGGCAAGTATATTCAAAGACAATCACATAAAGCCAGTCACCTTAACCAAATGGGCAATTCTTGCTGGAGACTGAAAGACAATCCATTCATCTACAGCAATAGTTTCCTGATCATTATCTTTCTGGATGGAAATATCACCTCCAAAGAACAGGAGACAGTATGGGGAAACTTCTGTGCAGTCATACAAGTATATCTATAAGGAAATTAAAGCAAATTAGCACATTAAAGAGTTTGAATTACTGCCACATTAATCCAATTATTATCAGTATCAATTTGCTATTAGTATTGATCCTTTTAAAATAGGTATTATCCTATTCATGTAATTAGAGAGACTAGTTATGAAGAAATAACTTTAAACAAGCCATTCTTAACTCAGAAAACATAGTTCTATATTTTTATTTCAATTCAAAGAATATCATTATTCTTAAACAAAATATTTTCTGAGGGACAAAACCAAAACACTAAAACAGCTGAAAGTATTTTTATAACTGTATAAACAGAATCCCACTTAACATTCTGACCAATACTTACTCTGTATAATAAAAGGGTAATATGCAAATTGACCCTAACAGCAGAATGACTGGGAATGACTGGTCACTATGACACACACTGACCACCAGGGGGCAGACGCTCAATGCAGGAGCTACCCTCTGGTAGTCAGTGCACTCCCACATGGGGGAGCTCTGCTCAGGTACAAGCCAGGCTGACGGCTGCCAGCACAATGGTGATGGCAGGAGCCTCTCCCACCTCCTCAGCAGCGCTAAGGATGTCCGACTGCAGCTTAGGCCTGCTCCCCGCTGGCAAGTGGACATCCCCTGAAGGCTCCCGGACTGCCAGCTTAGGCCTGATCCCTGCCGGGAAGCGGGACTAAGCCAGCAGGTGGACATCCTCTGACGGGTCCCAGACTGCGAGAGGGCACAGGCCGGGTTGAGGGACCCCCCCCAGCCCCCTCCCGAGTTCACAAATTGCTACTAAGGTATACTGATATGCCAACAAAATTCTTTGTACAATGTAAACTCCTCTATACCAAGAAATACCATCATTTCCAAAAAACACACTCGGAAAGAAAGTTATGCAAATCAAATAACTGTCCCAATTAATTAAAATACAAAAATGGATCATGACATACATTCACATAAAAAGTATAGTTTATTTGCTTAAGTTATAATTCATGTCATAAAAAATTTTAAAGAACAAATTTTGTTTATAATTATGAAAATCATACAATGACAAGAAAACAACAACACTGACATTAAGATCCATGATTATTTTTATTTACTTACGCTACTGGTTCTCATCTTCAGGTGATAGATAAGCCAATTGTAATGAAACTCTGTTTGCTCCACATTAACGGATTTAGGATGAATAGAAACTAGTCCATCAGTTTTTGTGTAAACTTTCACCCTTTAATAAAGTTAAAATGGAGTTTGTTAAAATATATTTTTTAATAAAACATGGAAAAATATCAGCTAAATGTGAAAACTCTAAATCATACATCAAATCCTCTTCAAGGTATAATTACTCAACACATTAAAAAGGTGTCAAAACATTCCTTATGTTTCTACTATTCCACTGAAGAACAAAGAACGAAATAAACAGCTGAAATACTTCAAAGTGATTCACACCAAGAGAATGGTCTATACATAATACTGTCAATTATGATACTAAAGCCTTTAATCTACAGAATAACTTTGTGAAATGATAATTTAAAAATTTCACAGGTTATACACCCAGGTGAATATAAAATAAAAAATTAAGAATGGTTAGAAGGAGTTTTAGCTATAACTGTCTTTTAAAAACCTATTCTGAACTCCCATTTTCAAAACAGGAATACTTGGAATAAATGTACTCTGACACAATTCTAGTTCAGTTTCTTCATTCCTAGGGGTCTTTTCTTTGATAGTCATAAAAATTTTACCTCAACTTGTGTGAGTTTTTAGTTAATATTATTCAACAAGGAGCTGTTTGGTGACTTATTTATAAATAGTCAATGGCAATTACTTATATTAGATGTGTACAACTCAATGGTTAGACAATCATATACTTTATATAGTGTTTCCAGTAACCACCTGGCACCATACAGTTATCACATTATTGACTATATTTCCTATGCTTTCCTTTACATCCCTGTGGCTGGTCTATAGCTAACGAATTTGTACTTCTTAATCTCTTCACCCCTTTCTCCCAGTCTCCCCAAATTCCTTTCCTCTGGCATACACCAGTCCAGTCTGCTCTCTGTCTGTGGGTCTATTTCAATTGTGTTTGTTCATTTATTTTGTTCTTTACATTTCACATATAAGTGAAATGAGTATCTTTTCTGTGTTTCTAGGAATTCATATACTTCTGTCAAAATCATGGTGATGAGGCATCATTCAGAATAGATTCAGAAATTATTTTCCTCACTGCACAGTCCATTTAACCAATACCATCCTGAAACCCTACATTACTGCAGCAGCAGAGTCTGGCACTTTTTCCATATGGGACCAGAGAGAAAATATTTCAGGCTTTGTGGGCCCTATGATCTTGGCCACAACTACTCACCTCTGCTTGTGTAGCAGCAGAGGGGACACGGACAACAGGTAAACAACCAGGTGTGGCTGTTTTCCAATAAAAATGTACACCAACAAGCTTTTTGCCAGTGGGCCAAAATTTGCTGACTCCTGGTCTAGACCCAAACAAAGTACCAGTCCAAAGAGACCCCCCCCCCCCCCCCCAAATAGCACCTTCCCAGGATGGCAGAGGGATATATAAAATGTTTGTATTTAAAAGAATCTGTTAAACTACCTTTTAAGAAAAATTTGACAAAGTACTAATGTCACAAAGTACTTGGATCACTTAAAATGTGAATAATCCAGCCACGACTAAAATTCATGTTATGCATAATCTTATACCTGAGAATAGGGTTTCTGAGAATCAGCATTTTTGACATACTGAGTTCTTTGCAGTGGAGGGCTGTCTCACAGAGCACCCCTGGCCTCTATCTATTAGCTGCCAGTAGTATCACAGAAGTTGTAACCTCACAAATGTCCCCAGACACACTCAAGTGACCCAAGAGGCAAAAATCAAACTCAGTTGAGAACCAACAACCTAAAACATTGACTATGTTTATTTTTAAGGTCTATATTTTTTATGTTTATAATCTTAGAGTTACACAGCTTTTTCATCCCCAATTGGGGCCGCGGGAGGTTGGCCAGCCGGCCCTGCGTCCTGGTTGAATTCCCAGTCAAACTCATGGCTGAGGGGACAATATGCATGTTAGCCTTTTATTATATAGGATAATTTTCTCATTTGTTACTAGACTTCTATGTTGTTTAAAATATAGCTTTAAAAAAAATCTGCAATTACTTCCTTAGGACATATGCCTCAAATTAAAATATTCACTTATAAATTCACTGGGCCAGGGTGTATTTTTAATGACTGTTGATATATAATTCTAATTTAGAGCACCCTTAAAAAAAAAAGGGGGTGGCAATTCACATACCACAATTTGACTTTCAGTCTCTCTTTTTCCTCACTAGCTCATTTCTTAGGCAAAAATATGCCAAGTTCTCTCATTCTGTCCAACTACAACTGAGGCTAACTCTACTTGCACATGTCTTATATAATAAAAGTGTAACATGCAAATTGACCAAACAGCAGAACAGCGGGATGACCATCTGGGACCATGCTGTGACACCCACTGGTACCAGGCCAGCCAGGCGGGAGCGGATGGGCCCAGCCATCGCCCCATGATCGCCCCGCAGAGGGAGGCCCAGGCCAGCGTCCTGCCTGCTCTGTGGCAGGTGAGGGGGCCTCCCTCCACTGGGCAATCAAACAACCTAAAACATTGACTATGTTTATTTTTAAGGTCTATATTTTTTATGTTTATAATCTTAGAGTTACACAGCTTTTTCATTTAACATGTTAAGGGCCAAGCCTGTTTTGTCTTCCTTTCCGTTTAGCCCGCGATATCCGATTTCACCGATATGCTGGCAGCACCAGTGACTGACATGGCACTTAACGTGTTAATATCAGTTCCGATATTGTATATGTTACAATACAATGTCTATTTTACATGCCCACCTATAAGAAAAGTTATATAGTAT